GTTATTAGGATGGCATGCGGGCAGACCGGCCGGTCCATCCGGCGTGAAGAAGCGCACGAGTAGGCGAACGGGCCGAGCGGCATTATCCAGCAGAAGAAGCAACAACGGCAGAATTAAGCAGCAGTTGAAGCGGATGGCCGAATGCCTGACGTTGATGCATGACAGTAGAGTATAAAAGGTTACTTCTGGAGCACTTTGATTGGGACGCAAATAAAATCGCCTAGAAACTTTGGGACGCAAATAAAATCGCCTAGAAACCATTAAAATCGAGGTACACATCATACTTCAAAAATCATAAAAACCAAGCATAAAAACCAAGAAAATAACTATCTTCCAATTGCTATTTTGAGAGAAAAGTATTTACTACCTTTTCTGGAGCACCCTTTCTAGCGCACCTGGGATCAGGGGATAAAGAAAACCATGTCAAAATCAAGCCAAAACACTTAAAAAATTAAAATTAAGAAAACAACTATTTCCCAATTATAATTTTGAGTTAAAAAATATTTATGCTGCTTTCCCCAAAAATTAAACAAAACTACTTCAAAATTGAAATTTTAAATTCTCAAACAAATCATCTTCCAATCTCAAAAAACCATTGCTTTTTCTAGCATACCCAGAATCGGGAGGATCGACCAGAAGTAACCTTTTATACCCTACTCATGATGTAAAAATTAAAAGAAGACAACGAGCGGTGAGAGAAGCGATTGCAAGGCAGTAGCAGAGTGAAAATGCTATTGCCGACAATAAAGACTGAGGAACCCGACGCGATCGAGTGGGAGATGCAGCGGCGCAATAATCCGCGTAATGAACCGGTCACGCTTTTTCGGCAGCTCATCGTTTTTCGAGACCCTTTAAGAGCTGCAGTGGCCAGATTCACCCTCTTGCACGATAAGCCCTCTCAGCGGACCACCGCTCCTGTTTCTCGCGCGAGATCGTGCAAATAGAGGAGCACATCGACCGTCAGTTTCTCGCGGACGAAATAAACTGGATTGCAAGTTACGTAATACGTGATACCCGAAGGCGCATTCAAAAAAATATGATGTAACTGCATTTACGGCGGGCGCTCTTTAATTAAAGCTCGTTTCAGGCGTGAAAACTGGTTTAACGCCTCAGTTGAGCAGGAAATTTATATTATTTCATAGCGCGGATTGCTCGGTTAGTTTTTCAACTGCGCGAAAATCGAGATAAATTTAAAAATTCACTTCGCAATTTTTGTATCCCCGTAAGAGTATTAGTGATAAATTCATATTTGTAGATCATATGTATGTATACACATAATAATAGCAACATTAAGTTAATTAATCCCTACGAGAATTGTAGAAATCAATATACTGTAAAAATAACATTAATTCTTACATTTTTTTATATTTTTTTCTTTGACGGGCGTGAAAAAAATTTATTTAAGAATTTAACTTCATTTTTAATTTCTACGTTAAATTTTAATGCTTAATTTTTAATATCTAATTTTTAATATCTGCTTACATATGCTTCAATATTAAAGAATTGAATCAAATATACATATCACTAATAAATATTTCACTCTTCATTATTTAAATCATTTGATCCAGCGATTTGTATATTATTTCGCGCTTTTGATAAAAAAATAATGAATTCTTTTTCAATCAGCAAAAAATTTATGATATATATTCAAACTTAGTCAATAAAACAAATTGTATTAATGTAACAATCGCGGCTCGCTTTGATATCTTTTATCACTCGACACCGTCGCATTTCATCGGATAATAGAATATATAAAGCGCTGCCGACTCGAGAGAAAAGAGTTTGGATGCGCGAAGAACAATGCCACGTATCATATCAAACAAACATCAAAATCGCAAACAAAGCAATCTAACAAAGAATTTATATCGAATTATGAAAAATCCACACGTCAAATATTTTTTTTTTCTTTTTGTTATTATCAATCGCAAAAATATCAGACAAACTAATTCAAAGCGTGACGCATTTGAATCTAAACCTCGCAAATATCATATAATTTATATCATATAATTTTCATTATTACTTATAAATAAAGTAATAATTTGTAATTCCTATTCTCTGACATTCCAATTTCTTGCTCAAAATGAAATAAATCGTACGAAATATTTATTTCGTAACAAGCAGTGAATGTTTCGATATGTTTTGCGTGACCTATCACTTCTTTTAATAGCCGTAAAATAAGGACGATGTGCGTTGTGTGTGTTTTGTATTTTCTAATATTTTTCATCAGCATGTTTTGAGGAATAATACACGATAACAAACAATTATGTCACAACCTACTAGATCAAATTTCACTAAGCGAGCGGTAGCACGGCGACCATGCGTAAACACAGCATATTGTATGCCGCAATAACAAACACAAAGACTATATACAACTAATTATTATCATCACAAAATATTAAATTTTCATACAATAAAATCATATGTGAATTTTTATGATTCAACAAATATATTATGAGTCAATAAATGTTTAATTTTATAAACTAATTAACGTCAGTTAAGATAGTTCCGTTCGATTGTTAGTTTCAAAATAGAAATGTCGATTTCAATTCTAATTCTTATTATTTAAATTTCTCAATCAAATAGTAAATATAAAGTAACAAATATCAAATTGACTAGAGACCAAGATCCGTTAATCAAACTGTATTACAACTCAAAATTGATTTCAACCGGGACAAAAATGTAATAACATAACTATAAATTGATAATGTACTCTCTTGCCTCTCTCATTTCTAAAATTAGTAGGAGTGGCTTTTACAACAAAAAAAAATCGATTCTAAAATATAATTTCATACATAGTCTGCGTTTTGCCCGTAGCAATCGTTACGCTGTACGAGTTACATGTAACCCGTTATCCTTCTATCGAAATCGAGCGTGTCGAATGACGTCGTATAATAGATTTCGCTCGATTGACTCCATGCAAACGACCACTCTCCTGCACTTTCGCCGACATAACGGAAGCATCGAGTCCTTGCAATTTTTATCGTATATGCCTAGTTTATTTTCTAGTTTCGAATACTCGCAATGTGGAAACTACGTTTTATTTTATAAGAATTAAAAAAATTATGTGTCATAAATTGAATTAATTTTGTTGCAAAATGCCGAAGATATATACTTTAAAGTGTATTTACGCTCGTATTTTACGGTTTTCTGAAATATTTAGTAAAGGTTGTCGTTTCAAATTATGCTTCCAAGTAAATATTCTCTGTTACTACTCTATTTCTTTAGCTTTCCTTCCCTTGGGCAGAAATTCTTTGATCCATGATGTGCGGTCACGTTACATACATAGATATAAGCCAACCTCGATATGGATTTTTCGATGTAAATGTATTTCTGAGGAAAATACTGAATGCTTAATGAAAATGTAAATATCTCGATAAATCATCATTGCTCAAGAAATTGATGTCATATACAAAATAATATCAACAAATCTAAATTTTAAAAAAGATAATTTTGTATACTTCCATGAAAAATTGTTATAAAAGTTCAATAATATATAATAATAATAGTAAAAATGCTTCATTTTTATTTAACAAACAAAATTTTTTCAAGATTTTCGTATGTATCATTGTATACAGCACGTTATGAGGTGTTTATAAAATTCTCGAAGACTCTCGCAAACACATGCAAAAGTAATTTCCCCTGCGAAATACTTTGCGGAAGTCTAGCAAGCTTCCGCACAGAAACTACGCATTCTACAGGTTATAATTTGAAATATTCTGTTTAAAATTAATGTCCAAACCAGTATATAAACAAAAAAAGATGCAATAGCATATTTAAATACGTATAAAAAATGTCCATATATTTCTCGTTAGTTATATCAAAAGATTTTTATTTAATACCAATTTAATTTTTAATTACCAATGCCACAATCATCAATAATAAGTAAGACATAATGATTCAATATATAATAAATAAATTCCATATTAAACATAAAAATTAATAATTAAACTAATAATTAAAAATAAATAAGACTAGCTGTTAATTAAAAAATTAAAAAGATCGAAATATATATAAATATACATATCTATAAAAATAAAAGTAAATGTGAAAATATAAAAAATCAAATAAAAATTTTTATTTTATTTTGTCAAATTATAATTTATTAAACTTATTTATATATAATTGCACATTATATATTTAAAATACTGACAACGTTTATTAATATTTATTAACCTTGCTTCAGTATTAAAATTCTATTTGTTATCCTTTTTATCACAGGCGTATTCATTTTCGTTTATTAGGAGTTAATCATTTGGTAGTACACGATAACGAGTTTCGTCACGATCTTGCTATTACTCACGCGAGATGCATAATTCACGCAAGATGATAATCCGCCGAGTTATCCGTATGGATGTTTGACGTTCTTGTAATAAAATCTCGTCTGGTTGTACGGACTGCCTCCAATTAAATGTTACATTAAGTGCAATATCCTTTGCGAGTAAGTCATGAATATTAATTATGCCTTATGAGACCGATCTGTATCTGATAAGACTTCAGTCGTTAAAGAGGCAAAACGACGACACGTTCACGCACATATACTGGTAAATCATAAAATATGAAATCTATCGCAGTCGACTTTTATTTCACGTTCACGATTATTTCCTTGAAAAACGGCAACTATAAAATCTCTCTCGTGCTTCGAGGAAACAAAGAAATAGAAGAAGAGAGAGTGAGAGGAAAGCGACAATTAGATCGAAACTCGATAAACCAGACACGCGAATTTCTCGTAAGCCTTGCGGATATCGAGCACGGTTCATGTTTTCATGTGAATCTACCTGCCTTATCTTCATCTACCGTTGCAACAACTTTATCTAACCTTCGATTAAAATCGCTGCACAAAAAGACTGTAATCTATATGTTAGTAACAGGAAAAAAAATATCTATTTACCTAATCGTTAGTCTGTTAAAATATTCGTCAAAAATATCTTATATTTGTTATATTTTTAAAAATAGATGTATTTCTAATCTTATATATTAAAAAATGAGTTGAAAAACACTAAATCACAAAGCTCTTAAAATGCTTTCTATACTACTTACCAATCTGTTAAAAAAACCATTTATGGAGGAACAACTCACCTGAAACAAAATAATAATTAATTGATTAATATATATCATATTTGAACAAATTATATTCATTTCGTAACATCTCAAAAATAATATCCAAAAATAATTTCTTCAATTAAAATATAAGATCAAATAAATTAAAATATCGATTAATCTTATGTATATCGAACAATAAAAAAAATTAGAATATATATAATAGAAATAAATCAATTTTTTTCTCTTATAGAATTAATTGTACATTTTGATCAATATATATTTTTTCACTATTCGACTAATATACATGTAATTATCATTCATTGAACATTGTTGCGTACATACATTGTGTTACGTGACTAATGTCTTTATCGCGTATGTAACGTATATATGTGGGGGTCATCTCACATATTAATTTCGGTTGCAAGGTTCGTTGTAACAAACATTTTTAAAATCCTTTTACAAAATTTAATAAGATTTTCTAAGCGAGACACATGATTGAAATGTTGTTTTCATCGATAAAATTATCGATATTATTATTATTACAATAACTGTGCATGATGTATTTGACATTTGTATTTTACAAAGAATTTATCTGTCGATTTTGTTATATTGTAAGATTATATCTTAAAAAATTGTGATATTGTGGCGACTTGCGGGTGCCCCGCACATCTCGCGCTACGTACGTCGCGGATCCAAACAATTAGAGTCGCGTGCCGCGACGCGGCGCAGGGTGAGACAATTATCTCGTAATTAGAATATAACAACAAACTGTTACAAATATAAAGGCGTACATCCGCCGAATCTTCACTCGATTTCGGGTTCTCTCCTGGTAAAGGCAAGAATAAGTGTTGTACCAAGCGGTATTCTAAAGCACTGACTACTCCTCATTCCTCCGGCCGAAAAGGCCATATCCTTCAGCTGAAATAGCTGCTTTCTTCGGCCGCATATGCCGCATCCTTCGGCTGCAGAAACTGCTCCACCGGCCAAATAGGCCGTTTCCTTTGGTCAACTGAATAAGTCGCGCTTCCTTCGGCCGAACCATACGGTTAAAGAAGCCGTCTCCTCCGACCGCAGAGGCCGTCTCCGAATACCACAATATAATGTATCTTATAGTACATTGTCATCAAGAAAATAAAGAAATAAAATAGTTATCATAACAAAATATCATAACAAAATACTTATCATAACATAATTTATAAAATTATATTCATCTAAATAATAACAATCAGACAGAATCTATATGATTTTGTAACTACGTAATAAATAATTATAAGATTATTTAAATTTTTTTCATAATGTACAGAATAAACAATTAACAAAAATAAAAAAGCTATTGTTATTACAATGTGATATGTAATATGTAACAAGAATCTTTCATGTTATGTTAAATATGAAATATTGCCAATGAAAGTAGATAACAGTTACATCGAAAACTTCCGAGTTCATTGTACCAAGTACATATAATATCTGGCATATGCCACAAACACGCTAACTTTCCTACATTTGCCAAAGTTGATAATTTATTTACCAAACAACTTCTAACTTCGGCAATCTGTTTTCTTGATGACAATGTTACTTGAAAACTAGTGCCATCTAAGCGGCATAACGGGCTGACGACTAACATACTAATCTTCAAAGTTTCTAGATATTTACATCATTATTCTTGCATTTCATACTCGCAATTATATCACATTTAATAACGTCTAAAAGACTTTTATAAAATATCAATTTATCTTAATAACGTCTACGTTTGCGTTTTCTTCGTCGCAATATTCGAATTGCAAATTTCAATGTATATCGATTGAGAAAATCAATATGTATATGTATATGTATATTATAACACATTATACATCAATGATGTATTATAATTCTGTTTGCAATGATATATAATATTGTCGATCATGTAGAAGCCGCGACAAAGGTATCCTAATATCCTCAGATGAGTGCATCAATATACATAACAATCCTCCGTTAATAGGTATCGCGATTAATTGCACGGCGCTATTCCCTCCACTCTGTGGGTGCGCAGTGTATATACCACACGTCTCATTACATGGAGATTCGTGGCTGCGTGTGGCCGAGCGAAAGCAGGTTATTCAAATTCTCCCTGAACGCGTAATTATACGCACGTTTGCTGCACGAGCGGTCAGCACTAACGTAACGGCCAACGTCTACGAGCTGCAAGTAACACGTGTCGCAACAAACGTGTCTCAGGTTGCACGCAAAGTGCTCGTCCATTCATCTCAGTTGCTCGCGCGACCAGTTGCAATCGATTTGCGATTATGTCAATACGGACGGACGTCCGATATTGCAGGTCAGAGGAAACGCCCGGAAGTTCGCAATGATCCTTCGATAAATACTAACAGATATGAACAATCTTGTTATTAAACGTGTGCATATAAATAATACGCGTGATTGCAACTGGTAGCGTGTAGCAATTACTTATATCTGATGGAATATACATTGAATATAATAAAATGAAATGACGAGATACAACAACCTGCCAGTTTTAAAATTTAACGTGTTTTTCTTGAAATAATCATTTAATTCAATAAATTGAATGTGTACTTGCTCCTCCTCTGATATGATTCTACATCGATCCAATAAAATATGATATTCTATTCCATACACTCATATTAAAATGCATTTCTTATTAATAAATATGTGTACTCCTGTTCAACAACTATAAACATTACTAATGTAAATATAATATTCATATATCGATTTTAACGTTATCCATAGCAACAAGTCGCCCATTTCAGAAACCATACAACATTGAAATACATATAAATTCTGTATTATTAGCGATATGTGCGAAAGCATGAGGAAGCATACATTAAATCACACGGCACTCGCGCTTGCCACGAAATTCACGCCAAAATTACAATAATAATAGAAATTGTGCGCAATGTTTGTTTAATGACGCACTACTATGTTGAGGAAAATTAGTCACACTGGTATTAATAATTAATCAAAATATCATGCGGTATATTGCCCATTTTGCCCCATCATTAAAATGTAATACTTTTTACTATAATCTGTGTTTACTTATTTCATAAATATTCATCATATATAAACATTCATGTATATATGTTATATATAAATAACAAAATAAATCTCTAATTTTATAATATCGTTTTTCAATTTTTATGAAAAATAAATTCGATTATATTATAGTATAATTTTCCAAGAAAGTTTATATACGTTCGACTCTATTTAAACAATAATTAAAAATATTATCATCATTATTATCAAAAAACCATATAAAAATCCGTTCTTATCATATATTTATATCACATGAATAATTGTAACATTGCCGATTACATAATTATTCGCAGTTATCATGGCTGCTGTTCCAGAATGTCCCGCTTCAAGATCCGCGTACAAAGATCTATGGACGAAATCCGAAGCCGCGACGAAATCCCTTCACGGAGCTGCTTGAATTATTCACAGAGTTTGTCTATCCTCACGAAGCAGCAACGCGAGCTCGCATGTCGATAGCATCGACCTGACGGTGTCAATTGCTGAACAAGACACGACTGGAGGAATGGCACTGTTTGAAAAGAGATATACGAGAAATATCGAGCTCCTTGTGAGTAAAAGAGAAAGAAGCAGTTGGAGTGAAATAAAGTGTTTTCCTCAAATATTTTGCTACAAAAATACAGCGCTTAATGTAAATAATCGTATTTCCTCCCCTCCCCCTCTCTCTCTCTCTCCTCTCTCTCTCTGCAATAATAGTAATATCTAAATTAAATAAGTTATAAAGTCGTTTGTTCTTTTTTTTTAATTTCTTTTATAATTCCTCGCATTATTATTTTTCTTTCTTCTCATTTATCTTTTTCTTCTTTTCTATCTTGAATAATATTATAATATTACTAAAACTAAAGTAGTGTAACTTTTATTGCACAGTTTGTCATTCCAGTAAAATATTTAAATTAAATGAACATAAATGCGGAAAAAAAGAAGATAAATTTTTCCACAAGGAAAACGTAAACAAAGACAAAATGACTATAAGCTTTATATCAGATTTTAAAATATTCTATAATTTACTTCTAAGCAGCTTATCTGATACAACTTCTAATTAGCCATTTTCACAAAGCCGACGCTAAACATGAAGTACATGCCTCTTCGCATTCTTTCATATTACAGATTATATCAAGTTTATTTTAATTTTTAACAAATTACTTTTAGAGAAAGTGTTTTTAAGTAAGTTAATTACTGTAAAACCGTGGTAACACTTTTAACTTTTAAACAAGGAAAAATATTATCTATTCTAATGAATATAAAGTTGTCATTTTATGTTGTTTTCTGAAATCACAAGATTGCAATATAAGGTACACACCAGACAATTGCATTAAAGCACACAAGCATTTTGATTAACATAGTTTCTAAATCAAGCTCTATTGCATTATCATTTTATATAATTATTATTTATATTTTATATTATTTATATTTTTTATATAATTATTATTTATATATTATTTGCATTACCATTTTATATATTCATCGTTTTGGCGCGCAATGGGAAAACTCGCTTTTCGTCGTACTTGCCTTTTCGTTCACGCAAGATAAATTCCGTCCGATATCAGGGAAATAATAATAGCAGGCAGTGCAACGATAACAGTTGATGTTTTCTCAACAAGAATAGCCGCTCACCTCTCTTCGGGATTGTCCATAGGAAAGCAATTGTCGCGCACGAAGGTGTACAATCTCGTTACTCAAACCTTTGGCTATTTCCAATGCAGCCCGGTGGATGAATTTTCACGTACGTGTTTACCTATAAGACACTGTCGTATTTAAACGTTTCGCCTCGGGATGTTTTCTCGGTCGAGAAAAATTGCCGTTTCGGAGTTTTACGTACAGCGGCGTGTCAAAAATAATAATATATCGCGTTGTGGCGATCGGCCATTTATTCCACTCTAGAGATATCGTGATCGATATCACCCTGCGAAATCGCAACACCAGGGATTCCGCTCTGTTGTCGGGGCTTTATAGAGCGTTTACAGAGTCAAGACGTGACAAAAAGACCGCGTGGC